GCTATAGCACATTTCAAAAAATTTAAATGAAACTTACACTTGATTATTTGTGTAATTTAGTGATGTTATTTGGAATTATTTTAGCCTGATATTTTACCCTACATTCTGATTGATGATTTAGTCCATTAAAGGCCTCATTACGTGAGTTTTCTTCCAGCAGGTATCATTAAATATAATTTTATGGTAATTTTAGGTTTGAATTTTTGTTATCAGAATAAAGATGATCTCGATGCCCCCATCATCGATAACGAATTATGAATCTGTTTGTACAGAATAGCATAATTTATCGTAAATTAATGTCAGTTTTAAATATCGTTCTGCGGCAGAACTGATCGCCGGCCGTCACTATTGTCAACTGAATTAGAGAAGTTTTATTTACACTATTAATATAATTGTTGGCAAAATCAATTATTGATTCCTTGCATAAGATTACTGTAGAATTTAGCATCTTTTTACTTGGATTTCATTCGCTAATTACTTCATTTGACTAATCTCTACGACTGAGCCAAGGGNAGATGTGTATAAGAGACAGACTTATCTCTACTAGTTGACCCTACGACATATTCGGACGACTTTTTATTAAGACTTATTCCGACAACTTGAGCCGACGACGTATTCCTGCTAATTGAGCCTATACTCCCTATTCAAACATCTGGAGACTTAATTATGATTTTCGTAACATAATAAAAACGAAGCTACGAAACTCAAAATTTACCAAAGCAATAGGCGAACAAAAAATTAATCGAAGCAATATAAAATTAAGCAAATTTTCTAAACATACATCGCGTGCAGAACAGGATGAAAATAATAAACAAAATAAGTGTAAAATGTTATAATAAAATGGTACATGTCAGAAAAGTGAAAGATTAACTTATATTACAAAGAAATTGAAATACAAAGTGAGAAGTAATCGCGTTCTTATCAAGATAGGTATTCTGATAAATTTAAACTTGTGTGTTATTACGAAAGTTTGAATGAATCAATTACGAAACATATAAGTAGCCAATAAGCCTTATTCTTTATTTATACCTTATATTTACTTATACTTACTTCAGCCATGCACATAGAGGGGCTCTAGTCGTAGCGCGTCTTACATTATTCAAATTATTATCATTATTTATTGTATCATTTATGCTATTTAAGTAGATAATGTATAACTCTATTAGTTATCACAATACGCATGATAGTGAAGTGGATGAAGGCGTATAGTGAAATAGCTTCACTGCTATTTGAGCGGCTATGAGAAGAATAAAAATCTAAGGACGAATTTCTCAATGGAACGGAGACGCCGAGCTCTTAAGGTTAGCTTCCATGAAGCTTATTCGACAAATTTCATCGAATTGAATAAAAATTGTACAGAAATTTTGTATGCAATTCGTCAAAACATAATTGAAAAAAGATCCTGGATTGATGTTAACTTAATGAACTAAAAGATGTATCCAGTAAATACCTCATTAGCAACGATTATTAGCAGGCCTGGTAAGGATCTACCGTATTCCATCTTTAGGAGCGGCATAACGTCTAGTTAAAATCCATCCGAACAACTATAACCATTCAATTTCCTAAAATTCGCTTGGAAATCGCGCTTTGCTACAAAATTTTATCGGGATAAAAATATTCATTCATTGCAGTTCCCTTGCCATATCAGAGATTCGTAAACTAAGAATTTTGCGGGACTGTTTCGTCACGTTGAGCTGGTGCGAAATATCAGTTAACATTAAATGCATGCAATTCATGATACGCAATAGAGTTTATACGGGCATTATAATGAACGCGGAAAATGAAAAAATGTTTAACGCGGGTAATGAAAAGAAAAACAGACGTTACCCTCCTAATATATTCATGCATATCGAGTATCAAAGTACGTAAAAAGCTTATAATATTTGAGCACACGGATTTTACAGATAATAGAAAAGTCAGTATTTGATGTGATGTGTATATTCCAAATAAAAAAAAACACGGAAAAATACGAGTACGAGTATAGTACTCGTATGGAATTAACGTAAAGATAATAACAGAGATTATCTTCTTGAAAATAATGGAAATTCTTAGGAAACAAAGTAAATGCGAGAGCTTCTTAATCATATTTTATTTATAATGTAAAAATCCGTACCTTATATTTAGCTTATACTCTCTTGTACTCATAATGGGAAGATCGGCAGGAAGTATAAAATTCACAATATTACAAAGAATTGTGGAGATTCAAACGCGCATCACGCATACAGGATAATAACAAAATGTGAACAGTGCAAAAGTAAAAAAAATAGTGAAACGAGCGTAATAGCAAATTATTTTGATGAGTAATATAGCTGTCTTTTCTGTCTCGATTAAATTTTATTAGCAAGCACTGTGCAGTGGCAGCAGGAGTAAAAAGATTTGAAGCAAGGTAAAACAAATTACATGCAAATATGTCTCGTTGAAGGAAAATATTTACTATACTATAACTACAATTTAAAAAAAAATTGGTCTTTTCAGAATACTGATCCATACATAAAATTGAACGTGAATAAGGAAAGCTCAAAGAAACTTCATACAAAGTAACGAGAATTGGAATACGCTTCAGCACACGTTTCATTTTTCATACAAATGTATGAAATTATTTTAATCCAACAACTATACTTCACGAAGTTGATGCGAGATGAAATTGTTTATTACGGACATTGATGTGCTCATTATCGTCATGATTATTAATGTCATGTTAAACGTCCCTATATAGCAGCATTGCAGTGCTCTTGGCAGAACCTTAGTCATCTTACAAATTAGTTAAAAATTCCATGCAAGGATAATTTTCTCTTCAGGCAAATTAAAATCTATCATACGAAGAAAACTTCAACCACGAATGAATATCTCGCACAATTTTGAGGTAAACAAATTATTTTGAAAAACTTCACAGCCTTGAATCATCAACAACAAGTTCGTTGTTAACTCCACCGTTATCTTTCTTGGCTTCTTGTCTTCTGGCTCTGCAAAATAAAGGAAAATAAAAAATAAAAGTGTGATGATGAATAAACTACAAACACTCACAGGCAAATATAATAAATAATAATACTGGGGTAAAGGAAAAATTAATACGAGGAAAATAACGACGGAGAGTAATAATAAGCTAGAATAATCCCGTAGGGAATATTTATTGAACTCACCCGTAGAGTCTCTGGTCTTCGAGGTAGTCTCTGTGGCAGCGTGAAAAACATTACAGAATTTCAGGACAGGTGACAAGACTGGGAAGGTTGAGTAAAGAGGGAGTATTTGGGGAAGGAGAGAAGGACTTGGGGAAGATAGAAGGACTTGGGGAAGGAGAGAAGAACTAGGGGAAAAATGAAGGACTTGGGGAAGAAAGAAAGACTTGGGGAAGGAGGGAAGGACTTGGGAAGGAGAGAAGGACTTGGGGAAGAAAGAAGGACTTGAGGAAGGAGGGAAGGACTTGGGGAAGGTGGAAGAGAGGACTTCTACAAGAATATCAGCACAGATCTTCACTAACGATCAGCAGAATACCTACAGTGCGAATTCCTTTCAGTGGGAGAATTAACAGTTGGCATATAACGCATTTAATAAATGAGGGGGGGTTACGCACGTTATACAACTACGTAACATGAGGGGCGGGGGCTTGCATGTGTGCAGCATGTTGGGGGTGCTTTGCTATTTGTGTAACACACGATTTTGTGCAACATTGTAACTGTGTAACACGAGGCTTCACACAAAAGAGTTAACCGTGTAACAAATGTGCACAGAACTTGTTCAATGTGTTAGTGCTTGAGTGGTACGACATGTTTAATGTCTTATGATTTGCCTAATTTCAGTGTAAAACATTACTCGTGATAAGTCTGAATTGATGCGCACTTATGAAGTTTATTTCGACACCGCAAGTTAGTCAGCTCATGAATGATAGTAAACTAGTGAATATATCACTCAGTATAGATGTGTTCAACTCACAATATTCCGTAGGCTTCGGCATCCCTAGTGAATAAATAAGAAACGTAAGCACATGGCTCATGATAACTACATAGATAAAAAAGATGCACAACTACGGTAATTAACACAATTTTACTTTGGTGACTTTAATAAGAAGATGCAAACGATATATTTGCTCAGAGCAGCAAGAACCTAGAGCTAAGCAGAGCATTCCAAATAAAATGATTCAAAGCTCTGCATCGATATGTATAATGTAAAAGTTTCACCATGCATCACTGCAAAGTGTGATGTATAATATAAACGTTTCACCATGCATCTCTGCAACGTGTGATGAATAATGCTAACGTTTCACTATGCATCCCTGCAAAGTGATGTATGATGTAAACGTTTCACCATGCATCCCTGAAAAGTGTGATGAATAATGCTGACGTTTCGCTATGCATCCCTGCAAAGTGATGTATGATGCAATTGTTTCACTATGCATCACTGTTAAGTGTGATGAATGGAAGTGATGAATGGAAGTGGTGGAAAGCGAGAGTGATGGGAAGAAGGATTGCCGCATAAATGTTTTATCAGTAATTAGTAATAAAAGTTGAAATACCGAAGCTGCTGATAAATTTAGGTATTGACGGTTGGCTGGTGGTGGAACGGTGCCATGATTGGCTTGGCTGGTAGTGGAACGGTGCCATGATTGGATTGGCTGGTAGTGGAACGGAGCCATGATTGGATTGGCTGGTATTGGCTGCTATTGCGAGTTTTATGAAATGTATCACGGTATGAGTGAGAGTAAAATTTAATGAACAACTAAATAGAATAGAATAGAAAAAATATGTAAAATATTGGGCATGAAAGATGTCAGGGAGGCTCGAATTGCAGAATTGCTAAGTTTCAAACTGTCAGGCAGAAGAAGATATGTAAAAATGTATAATGTCCGGTAATAATAACAGCAGAACTGACCAAGAAAAGAAGCAGATTGTTAAGAAAATGATATTTCAGGATAGTACAGAGCGACCAGAATTTGAAAAAATCGTCTAATAGCGCCCGAATTCAATAAATTTTAGGATATTACAGCGACAATTTAATGAAATTTGGATATTTCGGTCATGAGCAGACTACAACAGAGCGACTGGCTTACATCAACAAAAATGTCGGGCTAGAATAGAACAACTGGCTTTCATCAAAAAAATGTTGAGCTAGAACAGAGCGATTGGTTTTCATCAACGAAAATGTCGAGCTAGAACAGAGCGACTGGTTTTCATCAACGAAAATGTCGAGCTAGAACAGTGCGACTGGTTTTTAAAAACAAAAATGTCAGGTTACAAGAGAACAACTTGCTTTCATTAATAAAAATGTCGAGCTAGAACAGAGCGACTGGTTTTTAACAACCAAATTTTCGGGCTAGAACAGGGCAACTGGTTTCAACAACGAAAATGTCGGGCTAGAACAGAGCGACTGGCTTTCATAGAGCGACTGGTTTTCATCAACGAAAATGTCGAGCTAGAACAGAGCGACTAGTTTTTAACGACAAAAATGTCAGGTTATAAGAGAACAACTTGCTTTCATCAATAAAAATGTCGAGCTAGAACAGAGCGGCTGGTTTTAACAACCAAATTTTCGGGCTAGAACAGGGCAACTGGTTAAAACAACGAAAATGTCGGGCTAACAGAGCTACAGGGTGCAGACTTACTGCGATAGATTTTGGGCACGTCTTTAGTCCAGCTGAAGAAGTGATGAACAGGATGAGTTCTGAGTTCACATGTTTGTGTAAATGATGCGATTGTTCGACGGTTTCGAGTGTGGGATCTCATGAACGCGGGAACCAAAAAGCGTGTGAACCGTACTGTTCTTGGGAGTGTTGGATCTCATGAACGTGGAACCTAAAATCGTGTGAACCGTACTGTTCTTGGGAGTGTTGGATCTCATGAACGTGGAACCTAAAAGCGTGTGAACCGTACTGTTCTTGGGAGTGTTGGATCTCATGAACGTGGGAACCTAAAATCGTGTGAACCGTAATGTTTTTGGGAGTGTGGGACCTCATGAACGTGATGACAGCGTGTAAACCATACTGTTATTTGGAGCGTGAAGTCTTACGTAAGAAAACTCAGAAACGCGAGTGTAGGACTCGTTACTGTCAAGAAATAACGAGTTTGGCCAGGAAGGATGAACGTACATTTAATTATTGGGATAATATATTTTATTTTTAATCAGGAAGACAGTTTCTAGGGCAAAGGCGATGTAGACTGCCTACATAATTGATGTTGGGACAACTTAGTGGCAGAAATAACCGAGGGAAGTGAAGGATGAATTTGGGATTCATAAAAAAATAATGTAAACATTCTCAGATTTCCCAACATTCGGCAGATAAGAGGAGAAAACACTGCGCGAATAAAATTTATTTTCTTAAGTTTTCAAGTGTAGATAACGATGATGAAAATTCACATGACTACATAAAAGACTCACCGATCAGCCGCCCCCTTCTGGAAAATAGCGGAAATCTCCTCGAAAGTTTTGTTCTTGGTCTCAGGCACGAGGTAGTACGTGAAGATCCAGAACACGGCGAGCAGGAAGCTGAACGGCAGGAACGTGTAGTTGTCGAACGTATCCTGTGGGGGATACGCAGGAGTGAGGGGCATGGGAGGAGTGAGGGGCATGGGAGGAGTGAGGGGCACGGTAGGGGTGAGGGGCACGGTAGGGGTGAGGGGCACGGTAGGGGTGAGGGGCACGGTAGGAGTGAGGGGCACGGCAGGAGGGAGGGGCACGGCAGGAGTGAGGGGCACGGCAGTAGTAAGGGGAGGGCATGGACATGCACATGACATTTGTGACGCATGGACATGCATATGACATTTGTAACGCAAGGAAATGCACATGTCACAGTATGTATATGTCAATACATTAATGCTTTATTTCCCCACACAAACCTGCATCTTGGGGAAGCCAATACCGACGAGGAAATTGGACAGCCAATTGACCAGGACGGCGATGGACATGGCGGCGGGACGCGTGCCCTGCGTGAAGAGCTCGGCCGTGATCATCCACGGGATGCTGCCCGGCCCGATGGCGAAGAAGATGACGAAGCACAGCGTGCTGATCACCGACATGAACTTCATCCAGTCCATCATCACCTGTACGATGATCAGGAGCATTAGGATGATGGTGATGATGCACCTGTATGAGCAGACTGATGGTGATGACGCACCTGTATGAGCAGACTGATGGTGATGATGTAAGAATAGTACAGAACCTGTAGAGTAGGAGGAAGAGTAGTACAGAACCTGTGGAGTAGGAGGAAGAGTAGTACAGAACCAGTGGAGTAGAAGTAAGAATAGTACATAAGCTGTAGAGTAGGAGTAAGGGTAGTACAAAACCTGGCAAGTGAGAATAAGAGTAGTAAAGAAGCTGGCAGGACAAAAAGTGGTGGAAGTGAAGAAACTGTTATGTAAGAGATTTTAATACTGTTGTTGTTCTTGTTGTTTTTGTCGTTGTTGATAATGTTGATCTTTGGCAGCCGGTCACGCCGTTAAGCCCACGCTGCATAGGAAGGCCACCACCTGAGTCGCTCGGAACAAAGTTGTGCGACGGATGTTGTGCCTGCCCGGAGCCTGGGTGCAGCCAGCTCCGGGTACTCGAGCAGAATATGTTTGACGGTGTGAGGCAGGGTATGACACTGAGGGCACAGGTCCGAGTGGGTGCAGTCTAGGTGGTGTTGGGCAGCGTATGATAATGAGGGCATAGGTCTGAGTGAGGGTAGACTAGGCAGTGTTTGAAGGAGTATAGTGAGGGATGGTGACCACAGCGGAGTCTGCTGAGGTGCACCTTGTCTGCACGGCTCAACTGCTCTTCTGTATGACTGAGGTCTGGCGGTAAGACATCTATTCTATTTTTGATTGGTGGAATTTAAGAGTGCATTCGTGGTTAGTTGTATCTGTATACGTTTGATGAAGTTGGCTGGGTATGTGGGCGGGGGTTAGGAGTTAAGTGTTGAGAGATTATAGTTAATGGTGTGTTATTTGTCTGGGTTTTAAGGATAAGTGCTGAAGGTGATGGCAAGGTGCTGAGAGGGTCGTGGAACGCTAATGAAAGCAATTAGGTGCCGTTCATTCCTAGGTGTTCCTTCAGAATGAGGACTTTGGTGTCTGCATGAACGTGACCGGATGGTCTGGTTTGGGTGCCACCGAGTGCGATTCTTAGCGCTGTGTTTTGTAAGGTAGGTGGTTGAAGGAGGTGAGATAGTGGGTGCCCAGGCTGGACAGACATAATCCAGCACTGAACGAATATATTGCACGTACAATAGTGTGAGGGATTACTAGTTCTGCTCGAATGCTGAGAGCCCTAAATATGCGCTCACTGCTGGACTATGCCAATCCTGTAGCAGTAGCAGGAAGATATGGCGATATAGCATTATAATAGCACCATAATGACTCTATAATGTTGAAGACATCACGCACAGCATTAATGCCGGATAGTTGTTGCGAGAGCTGCATGATGACGCCGATGGTAAGAGGCATGCGCAGCGCCTTGGACCTGATGAGCTGCATCACCGAGAAGTGAGCCTCTGTTTGGTTGGCCGCCTCTTCGGCGCGCATCTCTTCGATGTCTTCCTCGACGTTGCTAGACGCCCGCAGCCGACGTAGAGCTGGGATATTAATTTATCGCCGCGTCAGCAGCAGGTAGCGCGGGGACTCAGGACAGACCGGCAGCAGCACCAGCTGCAGCACCGCGGGCACCAACGCCAGGCCTGTTATGTATAAACAGTGTGTGAACAAACTGTGCTGCAATAATAATATTATTTATAAACATTTGAATTTTACATAAATTAGGTCTTATTTCAAGAAAAAAATATTGCGGCCATCCGTTAATATTATTCGCAATTCGTTAACAAACTGTGCTGCAATAGTAACATCATTTATAAATATTTGATTTTTGTAGAAATTAGGTCTTATTTTATTACATTTTTTTGGCGGCCATCCGTTAATATTATTAGTATATAATTTGTAATTCATTAATATATATATCTGAATCTTGTAGAAATTAGGTTTTATTTTATGAGAAATTTTTTCGCAAACGTCTGTCAATAACATTAGTAATCGTAATCGTTCGTAATCGCTCCATAATGTTGAGGAGAAACTTAGAAATTACGGATAATATTTGGATATATAGGTTGTAAATACACACATACGACGGTTCTGGGAGAATAGATACTGAAATTCCAGGTATGCTAAAGAATCCATCATTAAATCTGTCAATTGTGGGAGTATAGATACTAGAAACGGACGAATGGAAGGAATATGAGAGTATAGATACTAGAAACGAACAATTGTGGGAGTATAGATACTAGAAACGAACGATTGTGGGAGTATAGATACTAGAAACGGACGATTGTGGGAGTATAGATACTAGAAACGAACAATTGTGGGAGTATAGATACTAGAAACGAACAATTGTGGGAGTATAGATACTAGAAACGGACGATTGTGGGAGTATAGATACTAGAAACGGACGATTGTGAGTGTATAGATACTAGAAACGGACGAATGGGAGAGTATAGATACTAGAAACGGACGATTGTGGGAGTATAGATACTAGAAACGGACGATTGTGAGTGTATAGATACTAGAAACGGACGAATGGGAGAGTATAGATACTAGAAACGGACGATTGTGGGAGTATAGATACTAAAAACGGACGAATGTGAGTGTATAGATACTAGAAACGGACGAATGTGAGTGTATAGATACTAGAAACGAACGATTGTGAGTGTATAGATACTAGAAACGGACGAATGGGAGAGTATAGATAATAGAAACGGACGATAGTGGGAGTATAGATACTAGAAAATGATGAATTTGTGGTAGTAATAGATACTCGAATCCATCTATTGTGACAGTTTATGTGTACTCGAAATGATCGATAGCAAGAATATAGATAAGCAAACATAACAAATACGAGGGAATATATATTCTAATACGTCTTTAATGAACGTTTAGATAGAACGTTTAGATTTAAAATTTTAGCTTCATTTTCCTGTGCTTCTAATTCGCACATTTTAGCACCTTTGTATATTTTAAAAAAACAGATGCCTTGTTTGAATCCAGCGTTTAGCTCTTATCCACTTAAAATTGTTGGTATAGGTTTGGCCTGTTATTTGCTTTGTCTCTGATCACTGTCACTTCAAGTTTCAAATTCTGTTTATATTAATTTCAACTGTATACTAGCTTCTGAATGTATCGGTAATCTAGAATTTTCGAACTGGAAACGAAAATGGACTCGGAAAATTTTGTATGATGATATGGTGAATTTTTGTGGAATTTTCTTCGCTTTTAAATTTCTACTGGATACGATGGATGCGAGAGTATTAGATACATGAATACGATGGATGTGAAAGTATAGATACTCGAACCCGTCGATTGTGGGAGTATAGATACTCGAATACGACGGATTCGAGAGTATATATATTAGGACCTGTCGATTGCGGGAGTATAGATACTCGAATACGACGAATGTGAGAGTATAGATACTAGAACCTGTTGATTGTGGGAGTATAGATACTCGAATACGGAATATCTATTCCAAAAGAACGGCCCTTCCATCATGGTGGAAGGAAACTCCGATATTATTCCTTCCCAGAAATAGGATTAACGCACATAAAAAAAACGAACGTACCCAGCAATATGAACGTACCCAGCAATATGAACGTACCCAGCAATATGAACGTACCCAGCAATATGATCCAGTGGTCGGAGTTGCCCAGCAGTTGTTCGATGCCCAGCACTTGGGACAGGAGGAGGCCCACGGTGACAGCGAGCTGGTTGACCGTGCCCAGCCCGCCCCGCAGGTTCAGGGGGGCGATCTCGCTGATGTACATGGGCACCAACGAGGTGTTCAGTCCTGTCAATATTTATTCCTGTTACTTTTACGTACAAACCGTAATTACTTCTACGTATAAACCCTAATTACTTTTACGTACAAACCCTAATTACTTTTACGTACAAACCATAATTACTTCTACGTGCAAACCCTAATTACTTTTACGAACAAACCCTAATTACTTTTACGTACAAACCGTAATTACTTTTACGTACAAACCCTAATTACTTTTACGTACAAACCCTAATTACTTTTACGTACAAACCGTAATAATAATGAATTATTATTGATGAATCAAATTCCTAGACATCGACGAAAGATTTTCGTCCGGAATCTCTTACCTAATGTAGAAGAAATAATAATAACAGCATAATAACTCTTTACATCGAAGATTAATAGGCACGGTATAACTATCTAGAATCTCTTATATAATCTGGAGAATATAATAATAGCCTAATAAATTACTTAGGAAACTAATATAAAATAAATATAGGAATAAATTAGGAATAAATTACTTAGGAAACCTAATTACTTACAGGCCTAATAAATTAGAAAATTTCCAGTGAATTCAAACTAAATGATGTAGAAGAGAAGGTATCAAATCCTGGTTTGAAATAAGTAAGTTAGATCGTCATAATGATCGTGCTGGTATCATCATAATGATCGTGCTGGTATCATCATAATGATCGTGCTGGTAAGTACATACCTAACTCAACTAATGAATTATTATTGATGAATCAAATTCCTAGACATCGACGAAAGATTATATTACAAATTCTCGTATATAATCTAGAAAATATAATAATAACAGCATAATAACTCGTTAATACGAAGATTAATAGTCAAAGTATGACTATCTAGAATCTCGTATATAATCTGGGGAATATAATAATAGCCAAATAAATTTATGCGAAAATTTCTACTGAATTTACCAGGATATCTATGTAGAAAAAAAAGGTATCAAATACTCGTTTGAAATAAGAAAGGTAGCGTGGGACAAACTATATACAGCGATCGTGCTGGCATCATCATAATGATCGTACTGGCATAATGATCGTGCTGGTACCATCATGACGATTGAGCTGGTATTAAAACGATGGTGACCACAATGATGGTGATCACAATGATAGTGACCACAATGATAGTGACCACAATGATAGTGACCACAATGATAGTGACCACAATGATAGTGACCACAATGATAGTGACCACAATGATAGTGACCACAATGATAGTGACCACAATGATAGTGACCACAATGATAGTGACCACAATGATAGTGACCACAATGATAGTGACCACAATGATAGTGACCACAATGATAGTGACCACAATGATAGTGACCACAATGATAGTGACCACAATGATAGTGACCACAATGATAGTGACCACAATGATAGTGACCACAATGATAGTGACCACAATGATAGTGACCACAATGATAGTGACCACAATGATAGTGACCACAATGATAGTGACCACAATGATAGTGACCACAATGATAGTGACCACAATGATAGTGANATATAGACATGTATCGTAGGTTCTATATCACTACACAGAAATATATCGTAGGTTCTATATCACTATATAACAACATATCGTAGGCTCTATATCGCTGCGTCGTGCGACGCAAACTAGCGAAAACATATAAAAATATTTTGTTCCATAACATGAAGTCCCAAGTACATAATTTACTCCCTATATTATTTATAATAATTTCTCCATTTAAATAGAAATTTGATGAAACGGAAATTAATACGTTCGTGACTTTTATTCCGACATCTACAGTTCTGGCCTTTGATTGAAAAATTACTATTTCTATACACTGGTAAGAAAAAAATGCTACCAATAAGTAGCTGTTAAACAGACACACACATTTTCTGCTCGTAGCACTGATACGTCCATTAGCCGGGTAAAACATGGGTCAGGATAACCTACACAAGGTTCAATAAATTCATTGCTATTGGTACAAAATCTCGAATTTTTTCTGAGTGTAAAGTTAGAAATATTTCAATCTTACCTGCCGACTTTGTTTCCGACGAATCCACCAGCGAAGCCTCCAACCATACCGCCGATAGCGAAGATAGACACGGCGATAGCGAACAAAAAGTTCTGCAAGTCATGTTCGATGTAGTCGCCGTAGCGAGCTTTGTAGCAATCATCGATGAACTTCAGTATCACTGATTCTGGAGCGTTGATAACGCCCGTGTTGAAGCCGAACTGGAACATGCCCAGTACAGCGGCGAATATCGCGTAGCACAGGAAGCATGTCAGACCCTGGAAAAGAAATGGTAAAGCTATAATTTTAAGCTAAAAAGCACAGTTACAATTTTAAGCTGGAAAGCACAGTTACAATTTTAAGCTGAAAGGTACAGCTACAATAGAATGCTGGAAAATACAGCTACAATTCTAAGCTAAAAGGTAGAGCTACAATATTAGGCTGAAAAGTACAGCTACAATATTCTGCTGAAAGGTACAGCTACAATATTATGCTGAAAAGTACAGCTACAATATTATGCTTTAAAGTACAGCTACAATATTCTGCTGAAAGGTACAGCTACAATATTATGCTGAAAAGCACAGCTACAATATTATGCTGAAAGGAACAGCTACAATATTCTGCTGAAAGGTAGAGCTACAATATTCTGCTGAAAATCATTACAGATTTCCACGAGAGATAATTATGATTTCCAATGATAATTTTCATGCGTATAGATCGTTCGGTGGTGTGGCTTCTAAACTTCAAGTCACACAAATCATGAAAGTTGGCGCAGAGAACAAAAAAAAAATGCCCATAATTCAGAATAACGACTGATAGCCAGGAAATAAGGAAGCTGCCCTATAAAATCGAAACTCGATTTAATGTTGGAAAATTGCAAGTATTTTATTAAAATGTTATTTCTGCATCGAAGCAAGTCCTTGTGCTGCGTTTTAGTACAACAACTCAACGATTGTTTTAACTCTAATACTGCATGACATAAAAAACGTATTTTTACAATGCATTTCATTTCATAAAAATGCAGGGTATTGCAACTTATTCGTACATGATATTTCCTCGCAGGTTCTTATCTACGGATTTTTTCTGACATATTTATTTTTGCATGAAATTAGAAATACTAAGAGGACCTAAAAAAATAATGTTCTTCTATCATTTCAGACACTTGAAAGTAAATACCATAGCTGCAAATCTTGATGACATCAGTAGAGTGAAATAATATCAAGAAATTTTTCAAACGTCATTCATTTTCCCAAATAAAAGTTGAACTAAATTGTGAAACCAAAATAAAATTTCAAAGGAAATTCAATCTTAGTTCGCTCTGCCATGCACTGCATCACAAGTTCCCAGTTGGTCCGCCAAATACTCAGACCGCGGACGCGGTATCAGCGGTTGGCTTACATTCGTGGCGAAGGAAATAGCTTCCAGGATTATTTCCATCACGGGGAGAACCGGAAAGTGATAAGGAAAAGATAAGCCGTCCAGAGGAGCCAATCACTTGGGACCTTCGTTGATGACACGGAAAATTGGCTTTACTCAGCGAATCAATTCCTGTCCGAAACTGCCCGGCACGAAACAGAAACGAATACGAACAACTGGCGCACGTTGCATACGTTCTGAGGTATGCAACTGTCGTCAGTTCTACGTCTCAAGTTAGATGTCCTCTTCCGCTATTATTATTTTGAAGGCAAATTTAGTTTAATATGGTCATCACAACTAGGCGCATTATTAGTCCGAATTTCAACAACGGCTGATATTGTTTAAAACTAGCAAACGATAACGATCTTGTGACAGATAATCTTGGGATATGTTTCATAATGCCGTTATTCCCTGACCGTTCAAACCCACATTTAGCATCTCACATCCTAGTTATGTTTGAAAATTTAACGGTAACTAACTTTTTCGCAACGCTTCACATATATGCTCCTAGCAAATAATTAAAAGTAAGATTTTATCTTTGAATGTAACTTTTTAATTTGCATTTTTCGACGTCCCAGTATCCTGGCTATGCGCCCAACAGCTCTGGCCGTGTATATTTGCAGCGCCAAGCTTCAAACACACATACATACACAAATTAGAAAAATATACATAAATTATTATTTATTATAAATTATAGTAATTGCACCAAAAATGGGCAGAAAAATGAGTGATATTGAAAATTATATAAAGCAAATATTATTGAATAATGGCAACTAATAATGTACACGACATTAATTTCACCAACTTCAGGTTATTTGTTATTCCTGATGACATTTCGTATAAGAAACGTGAATGAGCGATTTTTAGAAATTTATTTAGGGTATGTCATTAGGAAAATTCGTGTAACGACATATCGCATAGAAAACTCGAACAATTTCCAGGGGTTCATCAAGAAGAAAACTCGAACAATTTTCAGTGGTTTATAAAGCTGAAAACTCATAACAAAGAAGTACAGTAAAAATAGCGATTACGAGTGTCGCATTTCCAGTTCATTTACCATGATTTCAATCCTAGAGCAATGCCATGTGAACGATTTGCGCAAGGGGAGACCGCGCTAAATGCAACTCGAGAAGNCGTTATTTTCATCAGGTGGTCAGTCGTTATTTTTATCAGTTGTTCAGTCATCATTTTTATCAGTTGTCCAGTTATTATTTTTATCAGTTGTTCAGTCATCATTTTTATCAGTTGTACAGTCATCATTTTAATCAGTTGTTCAGTCGTCATTTTTAACAGTTGTCCAGTCGTTATTTTTATCAGCTGTTCAATCATCATTTTATCAATAGTCCATTTATTCAATTTTATCGGTTGTCCAGTTATCATTTTTATCAATTGTCCATTTATCATTTTTATCAGTTGTCCAGTTATCATTTTTATCAGTTGCTCAGTTCTAATTTTTATCAGTTGCTCAGTTATAATTTCATCAATTGTTCAGTCATAATTTTATCAGTTGTCCAGTTATCGTTTTTAACAATTGTCCATTTATCATTTCTATCAGTTGTCCAGTCCATTTTTATCAGTTGTCCAGTCCATTTTTATCAGTTGTCCAGTCATCATTTTTCTCAATTTTTCAGTTATCATTTGTATCTGTTGCCCATTTATCATTTATCAGATGCTGACGGGATAAAATTGCCGTTTAATACAAACAAGAAACAGACACCAAGTGAAGTGGCTCGTTTCCTTATGACCTGTCTCTTATACACATCTAGATGTGTATAAGAGACAGAGTTAGATGTCCTATGACAAGTGATAAATGCGTTACCTAACTGTGTTGTCTGAAGGCCGGTTTAAAATATTTACCCGGTGCTGATTGAGAACAAGATAAGTAGCCCGTATTAAAGCAATCATCTCCTGACAATCATTTTCCCAATGGAGTTTGCGGTTTCTTCTGTATTGCAATAAAATTGAGGATGATGCCGTTACGCCATTTACATACTGAAAGAGAACAAACAATACTTTTGGTGTTTGAGAACAAACCATATATACATACTGCTGTCTCTTATACACATCTAGATGTGTATAAGAGACAGCCTATATAGAGTAGGCGGTCAGGGTTCGAGGCTAGAGCTGTCTCTTATACACATCTAGATGTGTATAAGANAGCTCCAGCAGCAGCAGCTCCAGCAGCAGCAGCAGCAGCAACAGCAGCACCAGCAGCAGCAGCAGCACCAGCAGCAGCAGCAGCAGCTGCTCGAGTTGGCCTCTACATTTACGGCGGGATCGACTTGGCCGGTGATTTTATAGCTAGATTTAATAGATCTCGGGACTATTATTGACAGAGAAAATACGGAGGGATCCAGTTATTTATCGTGAAAATACAGAACCTTTCCAGTCATTTATCGTCGAAACAAGGAGTTTCACGGCTATTTGTATAGAAAATACGGAGGTTTCCGGGTTTTTATCTCGAAATAGTATGGTGGTTTCCTGATTCGTCCGGTCCAAATACGGTATTATGAAAATACGGAGGTTTACGGATAAAATCCCGCGAAAAGACGAAAGTTTTCGGTTATTAATCGTAAAAATACGTAGGTTTTTCTTTGTTTATCGTAATTTCTTATTCATTGTCACACGGTCCGCACCGATCTTCTGTCTCACCCGAAAAAAAGACTTCCGCGCTTTGTAAATTCTCTCGAACTCTCCGACTCTTTTTCTGCGGAATTTTGTCGCAGAAATACCTTCTGTTCCCAACCACCCAGGCATGGCTGTGGTGCTGGCTGGTGGACTTTAATGTCGGTATTTAAGAATACTGAGAAAATAATACAGCAAAAATTTAAATAAAAGATGGTATAAGTTCGTAGAAAATTTTCATTAGTGTCGTAGGTGAAAAGCCACCATATGTAACAAGTTTGTGTTAGGGCTTTTTGAAGCAACTATAACTATAGATAACTATGCAAACTGTAAGTCCAGATCTAAAATTTCCAAACAGGCAAAGCAGGTGTATCATCTGTACTTTCAAAGCAGATAAATCATCCATACGTAATAAAGTGATACATCATATAATTGTTCATAGGTAGTGACAGCAAAACTGCACACACGCATGGCGTAAGTGAAAAATAGACAAATTGTACGTATAGTTTTAATTATTCAACTTACGATGGAAGTGCAACAGTTCTGAAACACAACTGCGTAGGGCTATATAAAAGTATGTAATGGGGACGTAGGTTTAACAGTTCTAAAGCACAACGCGGTTGTAAAATGCAACTTTATGTTTGCTGCGAGTGTAACCGCTGTGCATATGTTACTGTTACGTTACATTATATGAAGTTCCCTGAGCACATATAACCAAGGTACGTGTAAGTTTGAAAGGCCCATGTAAAGGAATGAAAGGCCCATGTAAAGGAATGAAAGGCCCATGTAAAGGAATGAAAGGCCCATGTAAAGGAATGAAAGGCCCATGTAAAGGAATGAAAGGCCCATGTAAAGGAATGAAAGGCCCATGTAAAGGAATGAAAGGCCCATGTAAAGGAATGAAAGGCCCATGTAAAGGAATGAAAGGCCCATGTAAAGGAATGAAAGGCCCATGTAAAGGAATGAAAGGCCCATGTAAAGGAATGAAAGGCCCATGTAAAGGAATGAAAGGCCCATGTAAAGGAATGAAAGGCCCATGTAAAGGAATGAAAGGCCCATGTAAAGGAATGAAAGGCCCATGTAAAGGAATGAAAGGCCCATGTAAAGGAATGAAAGGCCCATGTAAAGGAATGAAAGGCCCNTCTTCTTTTAAATAAAACAAGTTTCAACTTCATAACGTTCTTAGTTTTTTATTTATTAACAAATTAAAAGGGTTACTTAATTCTGAAACACCCTGTATATCACAACAGTTCTATTGTATGTCGCAACAGTCTATTGTAAATCGTAACAGTATATATTGTACGACACATCATTCTCTCGTATATCGCAACAGTCTATTGTTTCTCTTGTATAAATCAACAGTCTCTACAGGCAGAGCCAATCACGCTTGCCTACAGGCAGGGCCAGGCAATAACGTTTGCCTACAAGCAAGCCCAGCAATGTTTGCCTGCAGGCAAGGCCAGACAATAACGTTTGCCTGCAGGCAATACCAGGTAATAACGTTTGCCTGCAGGCAAGGCCAGGCAATAACGTTCGCCTACAAGCAACCCAGCAATAACGTTTGCCTGCAGGCAAGGCCAGACAATAACGTTTGCCTGCAGGCAATACCAGGTAATAACGTTTGCCTGCAGCCAAGGCCAGGCAATAACGTTTGCCTACAAGCAAGACAGGTAATAACGTTTGCTTGCAGGCAAGGCCAGGCAATAACGTTCGCCTACAGGCAAGGCCAGGCAATAACGTTTGCCTACAAGCAAGCCTACGTAATAACGTTTGCCTACAAGCAAGACAGGCAATAACGTTTGCCTGCAGGCAAGCCCAGGCAATAACGTTTGCCTGCAGGCAAGGCCAGGCAATAACGTTTGCCTGCAGGCAAGGCCAGGCAATAACGTTTGCCTGCATGCAAGGCCAGGCAATAACGTTTGCCTGCAGGCAAGGCCAGGCAATCTCAGGGCAGAGCGGTGCAGTTACTCGTCGAGACGTCGCATTAACCGCGGCCGCCGGCACAGAATATCGCATTTACATGCCGCCCGTGGCGGGGATTGTTGCCTTATTGTCTGTAGCCAAGAATTGTTGTCTTATTGTCTGTAGCTAAGAATTGTTGTCTTATTGTCTGTAGCCAAGAATTGTTGTCTTATTGTCTGTAGCCAAGAATTGTTGTCTTATTGTCTGTAGCTAAGAATTGTTGTCTTATTGTCTGTAGCCAAGAATTGTTGCCTTATTGTCTGTAGCCAAGAGTTGTTGCCTTATTGTCTGTAGCCAAGAATTGTTGTCTTATTGTCTGTAGCCTAGAGTTGTTGCCTTATTGTCTGTAGCCAAGAATTGTTGCCTTATTGTCTGTAGCCAAGAATTGTTGCCTTTTTGTCTTTAGCCAAGAATTGTTGCCTTATTGTCTGTAG